GTTGAAGAATTTCTGCAGATTCAAGCGATCATTTCGAATGGTATGTCATATGTCCAGGGGCTTCAAGGTACTGCAGCATAAAGGATGGCGTTTAAAAAAAGGCTGACTTTTTTGAAGCGCCGCGCGGAGGATTATAGAATATGAGCTGCAAGTTGCTGCCAAGATAACATGCGAAGATCACTTAATACAAATGATCTTTGCTGCTGGTTGTTTACTGTTTATCAGAAAAAAAATCATCGAAATTGAAAAAATCGAAGTGATTCCTGATCACCCTAGTACAATCTTCCTTGTTTAGCTTAACCTAGTCTCTTATCAATAGTTATTGTGAATAAGGAGAAAAGGTCATATACTATAAAGCACTTTGATTGAAACTACATAGGAAACTGTGAGGATTTGCGGAAGAAAAATCGTTTTTAGGTACTGTAGCAAATCATCGATATCTCTGACCTTTCTCGCTAATTTGAATAATGGTAAGGAGCGATTCAGATGGAACATATCTTCTTTGACATGAATAACACATTAACGACAGCTTGACACACATGGTGTGTCAAGAAATGACTACCGCGTGGGACCGCTTGTCACACCATGTGTGTCAAGGCTTGAATTCTGTTAAAATGACCACTATCTTGAGATAAATTCACTCCATGAGCTCTCTTTTTCGCTGAATCTAGGGATGACCTCTACTTTTTTTTGTCAGCCTTACAGATCTAGGTATTGTAGATAGCATTATGCGTAATTATAGTCGAAAACTGTGGGCTGATCCGTAAAAGGCCTTGGTTCCAGAAGGCAGGCAATTAAAATTCTGCGTGGTCGTCAATGTTATAACGAAATTGTTCTAACTTGTTCCTCTTGATCAGAAAATTTTGAAAACTCATTTTGGCTTTGCAAAAAATCTATCAAGGACGTAGTTGCCTCCACACCCCCTTTTTCAGATTTGTAGGGTCATGGGCCCGCAGATTTAGAACAATTCAGAAAATTCTTGGATGGCGTGACTGACGTCACGTCACTTCATCTAAAGAAAATTTTGTCTCCACAATCACCACGAGAAAAATTTTGTGGACTACCACGGACATGAACATACCAAGGAGGTATCTCTTTGAAAGGTTTAGGTTGGAGGTTAGCAGATCATATACTTCTAAATGCTAGCAGTAGCTTAACATAGAGAGTGTTGACGCACGATACATTAATGGTCCAAATCCAGGAGGTAATGTGCTAGTGTATGAAAAGCAACGCTATGGTAATAAGGTCGCTCACAATGTTATAGCAACGTCCCATTAGCAACATTAGAAAGTTTCAACTAGGTTGTACATAATCATGCACCGCGTTCCTTAAACAAACTTTCGCTCATATCTAATTTCACAATTACAAGAACTTTTCTTTGTCAAATAGAGCAATTCACGTTCGCACTGCTATTTCTGGCAGGATGGTCGTTCTCCGTCACAGTTCTTCAGATAATGCATAGCAAGGTTCGATACCGCTTGTATTTCAGAAAAACGACGCAAAGTCGGCCGATTCATGTGACATCACCGTAGCGTTGTCATATCTCGCTTCAGAGTGGACGAACTCTTATTCCAAGAGCACCATTTGACTCAGCTCGGCGCGGCGCATTTCTTCCCATATGAAAGTGCCCGTTTGGACACAGTAGGAGACCAGAATTCACAAATCGTTTCAGATTTCTGCTTACGGTAGGTTACTCGGTGTGCTTACTCATTGCAATCACTGGGCAATCTACCATAAGCGAAAATCTGAACGATTCGTGGAATCTGGCCTCATACTGTGTACAAGTGGACATTTTGATATAATAGAAGATGCGCCGCGCCGAGCTGAGTTGAGTGGTGCCTTTGGGTTGGGAATCCATCCACTCTAAAGCGAGATACGGCCACGCAACGCTGATATCACATGAATCGGGCGACTGCGCGTCTTTTTTCTAAATACGAGCGGTGTTGTGTAGCGTCCTACCGCAAAATTTTTGGCATGTTCGTACAGGCAGAGAAAAGAGTGCACTGTACTCGTGAAATTCGAGTAATATTTAAGGGGATAGCAGATTAATTCTGTGTGGGCCTTTGGTATCATCAAAAACAGGGACGAGATGCAGCATGCACGTATGAAAACAAATTTGAATAGGGAGAATATGAATTTCTTGTCAACTAAAGTGCTTTAAGTGGAAAAACAGGTTTACATTGGAAGTATGTGCATGAACAGCAGGCGAAAATGCAATGCATGAAATTTGATAGTGTATGTCCGGTAATTCATAGAAAAAGCTTGAACCTACGTGCGACATTCCAGAATAATTCGGTCACAATGGGCTTCACCTCGCTCAGCGTCGAATACTGGAGAGGTATGGTGGGGAAAGGGGAGAAAAAAGGAAAAAAATTAAACCCTTAGTTCAAAATGAACAGTATTTGCATGAAAATATGTTAGAAAAATTAGAATTAGACTTGATTAAAAAAGATCATGGTTTATACAGCTGCACAGAAGAGGCCTTCTATTGGCATACATGCAGACATAGACTTAAATTCGGTTTTTTGTGTAGAATTGAAAATCTGAAAGTTGACTAATAATCAGAGAAAGTTAAGTTCATAATTTCATGAACTGCTCTTTCTACATGAGCAAAGTTTGTGCAGGTTGAGCGCTTCTATCAAAAGTTATAATTTTCGAGAAAAAATGCGAAAATAAATCAATTGCCGTTTTGTATTGGTTGCTCAGAGATCAAAATTATTTGTAAAAGCTCTCAATCAGCACGAAATCTGCTCAGATAGAAAGAGCAAGAAATAAACCTTATAATTCGAGGTACTCCGATTTTTTTGCAGGATTCAGATTTTTAATGACTAAATATAGAAAAGTCGTAAATTGAATCATTCTATTCTGCAATCTACACCTCTGCACTGCAATGGAAGCCGTCTTTCAACAGCTGTTGTAAAAAGCATGTCTGTTCTTTTCAAAACAATTAACTTTGTAGAAGTCCTTCGAGAATTTGAGAAGTCATAGATTTTTGAAAATGGTGCGAACGAACTTTTGGGCCAACCTATAGTTTCAGTCTCACTTTATGACACAGGTTGGTGTAAACATTCTTACAAGTGACAATGAGGTTAAGGTACCATGAGTATTACATCGTTCCGAAAGTATATTCGCTTTTTTAAACGGCTGTAACAACTCGCAGAACAACGATTTATAGACCTAGTTTTCGATCAACGATGTGTCAATTAGACTACAAGGTTTCGCCATGGTTAAGTCTCGCTATTATTCTAAATTTTTATATTGATTTTCCAGAAAGTCCAAGTAATGTGTCGATAGAGCAGAACCTACGCGACACAAAAAAATCTTCTCCTTTCTATAGTTTGCTTTTTAGAATTTTGAAAATCGTCCTTTGTGCTATCGAATTCAATATTTAGTTAACTCAGATTTTATACAGTAGTGCCAGTCACGTGCACCTTTATCCACCGAACTTAGGGATCGTTCAGACCGCGCACAAAGGCGGACGAAGGCGCACGAAGGCGCGTCTCGTCTCGTCTCGTTTATCTCGAAACACACACACACACTCACACGCGCCTTCGTGCGCCTTCGTCCGCCTTTGTGCGGCTTCGTCCGCCTTCGTCCGCCTTTGCGCGGCTTCGTCCGCCTTCGTCCGCCTTTGTGCGCCTTCGTGCGCCTTCGTCCGCCTTTGTGCGCCTTTGCGCCTTCGTCCGCCTTTGTGCGCGGTCTGAACGATCCCTTAGCGCCACGTTCGCGCGCATGAATCGGGTTTGTAAATGGGCCTCATCGATTAGAGGTCCGCACGCTAGGGTCCCTGCGTTGCGCATGCATAGTTCGCATCCAAAGGGAGTACGTAATTGACATTGACTTAGAACATCAGCCGGCTTGCAAGCGAGTGCCAAAATGCAGCATTTTTTCTCTTTCTAGAAAGTTTTTGTCTGCGACTCGTAAAGTGTTCGAGACAAAATAAGCAATAATTCAACTTTTTGAAGGCGCCCGAGTTGTACTACAAAGATTTATAGACCTTATATTAAAAATCCTTGAAAGACAATTTGCTTGTAAATTGCAGTATTATTGCTGAATCGCATAATTACACTTCTGGGGGTTTCAAGTTTAGAATTGGTGTTTGCAGTGTTGCGTCCGAGGTAGAACTGCTAAAATAGTGTTTTCAATGAAAATTCTATCAAAAAAGCAACAAGGTAAGAAAATGACAGAAAATTCGCTTTGTATTCTGTTGGGTTTGCTGTATCAATCTGTTGCTTGGACAACTTTAGGAATTCACTGTACAATTCAGGAAAATAACGAGATTTGGCCACGGCAAAAGCTTGGGTATTCTTCTCATCTGCGAAAACTGGTACCCTTTGTTCTGGGAGATCAAACATTGACCTGGAATAGTAACACATCCCTCAGAAAATAAGAAGATGCATCGAATGCTACCAAGAGTGAAGCTTCCTTAATCGTGGCAGCCCTTTGAAATGGGGAAAACTATCGCGAATCTAGCATTTGCGAAGACTGGTACCCTTTGTTCCATCTGGATTTGCGGTGGAAGGCGGGCTTTGTGACCTAATTAAGGTTGTGGAATGATCAGAGAGCAGGTCCGCTAGAGAGACGCAGACTGCGTCTCGGCCCTCCATTCTCATCTCGTTGAGTCAAAGTGTAGCATTTATCCTTCCAGGAAAAGTGAAATTAGTTGTGCGATTTTGAATTCCATTCATTAGCTAGAGATACTTCAGCATTTTGAAGCACTGTTGTCCTGGCCCATTATATCGTAGTGGTCGCGCTCGCCAAAAGCTATCGCTCCAGATATGGCCAGAGAAAATCGGCAAATGTCACTAGTGCGTCAGAAAAGTGCAGATGCTACTAGTGTGTCGGGAATTGTTGGAACAATTACGAAGTTGATATCTTGGAGACTATTTCCCTTGGCCTAGCTGTAGATGTGATGAAGGACTGAATTCAGACTCATCATTTGACATCACTAGCCTTGGATTGTCAACAACCACTACATCTTATCTAAATTCAAACACCAAACTTATGCCGGTAGTGCAGCAAAAGCCCGCGCGCTGCCTGTAAATCGTGCTGGGACCACACAGCTACAGCCGCCTGGCTTGTGGTTGTTGTCTTTTCATATAACTTTCGACTGTTTTGTGCGTAGTTCGCTTTGTCTGAACCTACATCCAACGAAGTATGCACGAAGAGAGTCTGGTCCTCACACAGTCTGACGCGGGATATATCGACGCTAAGAAGAAGTTCTGTGGGTTTGAATGGTAAGTGTTAGTATTTTTCGCGTTTTCTTTGCAGCAGTATCAGTGCATAAAGTTGGACTGCACAAAGTCATGGAGTTTTTTGTCAAGAATTAACTAAGGAGGATGACGTAAAACTGAAGTTGTAGAGGTCGTCATGTACCGGAACCTGTTATGACGGAAAAGGACTCGCCTGTATCTACATTGAGCATAAATAGAGATTGTAAAAACTCACATGTTCTTTCTGAACCAAACTCTTTGGAGCAATTTTTAGTAGAAAATCATATCTCTTTACATCCTAAACACTTTTCTCGCAGGGAAGCCGAAGCGACAGCCGACGTTGATTATGTGACCATCACTCTATGGTGCAATCGAGGAGTAGAGGCCAGTTTGTGGACCTGTACGGCAAATGTCAGCATTCACAACTTTTTGGGCATCAATGGTGATAATACTATGATAGAGCAGGTTTGTTTGAGTCCCAATTTATCACATTACATTTTCGTTTATTACATAGATCCTATGCTATTGTTCGCATCAATCACACGTTCCTAAAACAACAAGAGAGATTCACAGAAAGCATTCTCCTTCTCATCATTTTATTAAGATCACTGCAGTTGAAGCAAAAAAAATTTGTGCTTGTCTCACCCTGAATGAAATTAATCTTGAATTAACTCTTTTGAAGTTCGGTTTGAAAAAAAGATGAGACGGATTAAGTTGATAGCCTCTAATTATTATCTTGGCTGTTCTAACAGCATCCTCTCCTCAGAGCAGTCGTTCCACCCAAGTTTTTTGTGTGAAGCCTGTCATGAGATAGTTTTCTAAGCTTCACGGGGTAGTCATTCATACTTGACCCTCTTACATTTTACTGGAAAATGCGTGATGCAGCTGTGTACCTTTTGCGCACTTATCACTGGAATGGAAATAGTGGGATTGGAAACTACGGTACAAGGGTATTTCAGACTGCGCCGGTACGCGTCCAAACCCGGCCGAATACGTCCCAGTCCGCCCGAACCCGCCTGAACGCCGGAACTGCCAAAGCGCAGCAGACATGCGTGCAGATTGGCAAATTGGATCACGCGTAATACTGCGCGCGTGGTGCATATATCTTATAAGGAAAGCTACCTGATCTAGCTCGGCCTTTTGGTAAAAGGCTTATGTATTCTGAATCAGCTTCAAACGCTGATTCCAAATATGCTATTCCTAGCTGCCGCGCACCATTCCGAAGCGAGTTATGGGCTTTTTCCTGCGCATAATTGGCATACTATTGACCATGAGAAGACTGCCTGTAGATAAAAATCTGCAAGAAAAAGGTGCTGAGGTATCGAAACAGTACAAATCCAATTTTTTTCTCACTAAAAAAGCTTTTACGCAGGTGTATCAGCACTTAATTGATGATGACGTGATGCCCGTGAGTTGATGAGCATGCCAATTTTGCGCAGGAAAAAGCCCATAACTAGCTTTGGAATGGTGCATGGCAGCTAGGAATGGCACATTTGGAATAGCGTTTAAAGCTGATTCACATTATATATGTCCTTGCCAAATGGCCGAACTAAGTTAGATACCTTCCCTTGTTAGTCACACGTAGCTCACGCATGACGCTTTGGCAGTTCCGGCGTTCAGGCGGGTTCGGACGGATTCGGACGTCGCGCGTGTCTGAGCGCATTCAGAAGTATTCGGGCGGATTCGGAAGTATTCAGGCGGGTTAGGCGGGACCGGCGCAGTTTTTGAACGATCCCACAGTACTCAAGCACTGGTGTATGAATCTTCTAAGCCTTAGGCAAGCGCCACACTTGATGCGTTTGATGCTCTTCATCCACTTTGCTGTTGATCAACCCAGTGAACTGACCAGTGGCCGTATTCATCATTGATACCTTGAGGTAAATTTTACCTCCAGGTAGTTTTATCACTCATTATCAGCAAAATTACATTGAGAATTTACCTCAAGGCTCTTTGTGAATACGGGTACTTGCTGATAATGAGTGATAAAACTACCTGGATGTAGAATTTACCTCAAGGTATCAGTGATGAATACGGCCACAGTAGTGAAGTGGATGAAGTGGATCAGGCGGATCAAGTAGACACTGTCAGTCCACTGAATTGACCAGTGATGAAGCGGATCAAGTGAATCAATAGATTAAGTGAATCAGGTATGGCGCTTGCTTGAGAAGACATGTATGGCGAATCAAATGATGAACAAGTTGTGTGTACTGCCACATCGCTCCTGGCAGTCACTTTTGCAATGTTGATTAAAATTTAGTTTCTTTCCTATATACCAGAAATTTTACGTCGCTGTGCCTGTAGTTTGCTCAGCAATAATCATTCTCTTACAAACTCTAGGTTTCCAAATTTCAGTTCATACATAAGTTCCACAGTAAGGATCGCTCGAAGAGCATTACGTTTTCTCGCTGTGAGTTGGAAAACGATATTATACTCACATTGAGGAACCTTCGAGACATTACTGGATACAGGTTGTGGTAGTTAATGGTGTGTCTGTCTATAACTTACTACTGTCTTATTGTTTCAGAGACGCTCTAATGTTTGAGTTGGACTTTACGAAACCTTCGGAATCTAATAATGTCTGCATCGTCTTTGAGGACGAAGACAAACGTGTTTACGTTAATAGAGAGGTTGATGGTTAGCATCAGACCTGTCCTTGAACTGAGATAGATATAATTTAGTACCTGTCGATTAATTCGCGAAAATTCGCAACGATGTTCCCGCCGAATCGGGAAGAGCTTTCTGCGTCCGAATCGGATGGCGACGATTTTGACGTTCTCAGCATGCAGTGAGTCGCTATTGTTGTCAAGTTAGTCGTGGAATTCAACAAGCTTTTTTTTTACAGAGCCGATGCTGTTGATGAGTCCTCAGGGGTTCGCGAAGATCTTGACGTCAATCCCCTTTCTAGTGGTTTGTCTTTCTTCTGCTGATGTTTTATTTTTATAATTTTCAGGATTATGTCTTAGGCACCGGCCAGACTTTGCTCGAAAGCGCTCTACGGCCCCCAAAAGCGTCCAAATTTCTTTGATCTCTCTTCACATCTCTCAGCACTTCAAAAACACGTCCGGTGCCAGCGTGCTGGCGCTTTTAGACTGGCGCGGAACGCGTGTAAGGAGAGGTGAGAGAAATGTGAATGGAGATTGAAGAAATTTGAGCGTTTTTGGGCGCTTTTCTAGCGAAGTACCGTATTCAATCTTCTGACTTTTGATTGCAGTTGTTGCCTGCTGAAAAGCTTTTTTGAGATTCTAGAAAAGACCTACGAGTGACAGCTCATTCGATGGGAGGCAACCAACTTGAACGATACCTTATGCCAACCGTACGCCTTGCGCGAATTGATTCCTTCCCAATCTTTATTTGAACGCTTGATAATATCTCAAAAATCCCGAGTACGTTAGAAGCTGAATAGGTTTCAATTTTTGCTTTTTGACTGTTTTCTAGATTAGGGAACTCGTTGCTCGAAAGTTGCTTGGAAATTCTTTGTGGTATCAACATTATTGACGATTCTATACAACCGTAGATGTACGTTAGATAGCTTAACAGCTTTCGTACCTCTTTGCCCTTACTCCTCAAGCGATCTGAACAATCTGTTTCTGATGCCAAAATATGGGTTCATCAAAAGATTTACTTTCAGACTAAGTCTCCCTGGAGTTTCTTTTTAGCACCATAAAAATTTCTTCCGCTCTTTTTTGATGTCGAGGTAGATCTAAAGTTGGTTAAAAAGCTACTTCTATTTTTGCATTAGGTATGCGATATTCAGAATACCAGTGAATCACATAAAATCTGGGAAAGGGGTTGCCATGTCTTTGTTCTTGCTGTATAGAGCATATGAGCATGGAACCTTCGGTATTTTCCGATATCATAAGTGTATTAATCGTCTTACAGGTGACATCGTCCCGAGGCCAACATCGGCTGCAAATGTACACCGGAAAAACGGAGTTTATCTGTTGAGAGATGTCATTAGCGATGATTTCATCACTTTGCTGCGAGCCATCTATCCACCATTCTGCGAAGTTACAGGTGATCACAAGTTCTTTTATTATATGTGGTGCCCTATTTCCATATATAGGTGCAAATTTGGGATGCCTTCTTTCACTGGCTTCTCAATTTGGTGTAGAGCATATCATTTGGAAGTGTGAACTTTATCTGAGGACTGACGATGGTCGTCAGTGTTTCGACCTTTACCGTAGACTTTTCATGGCTGTGAAATATAGAATGGCGTCTGTCGAGGTTGATATTCTTGACTTCGCTACGGTCGAGTTTTGTAATAATTGCACTTCTAGAGTGATTGCATGGCCGCTTTGCAAAGTGCGGATGATGTTCGTTCGTTGCTAGAAGATCCCCGCATGGAAAGCGCCCCACGAAGAATGCGTCCACTTCTTTTAGAAACGCTACTTCAGCGTCTCAAGACTGAAGCTTCTCCAGCTGCTCCAAAAGGCAGTACTGTTATTTTTGCATAGTCCATAATGCTCAAGTGTTCCTTGTGCTTTATTTTAGTTAGCGCCACGACGAAGGATGCGCAAACTTATGTTTGCAACTTGTTCAAGTCGATTGGAACTTCGGAAAATTCGACTAATGGAGAATCGCTACAGGTTTGATCAAGCATTCTACGTGGAACTTCGAGAATGCTCGATAATTTAGAATAAGCAATGTTCGTCAAACATGGCTGATGAAGTTGCTTCTGTACGCAATGTCTCTTTGAACCCAGAGGGAATGCGCCAGAATCTGGAAATGTCGTTCAAGGTAAATAGCATGAAATCTATGCGATACATCGCTTACATACTGACTTGCTGCATCACAGATTTTATTATACTTTAGTGCACGGAGGATATTATTAGATGTATGCAGAGGAGAAGCGAAAATGACGCAAATGCAAACAGTCAATTCCCATCACTTCAAGCTAGCTCAGATGCTACGATGGAGGTAATTTTTGGCATTGTTCTAGTCAGCAGAAGTGATGTTCTTGTTGGGGTAGTCGTATTGGTAACTTCAAGTCATTGCGATGGCCGACTCCCAAGAGTATAGCGCGGAACGTTGCCGACGTTTGCTAATATATACGCGTGGCAAAGATCAAATTTACTAGCTAAAGCGATGAAATTAAAATGAAGGTGGAGGCTCAACAAGTTTTCAAGGTGTACAAATGTCTGCAGCTCCCCGCCCGCTATACTCCTGGCAGTCGCCTATATCTCGTAAATGCTCAAGGGTAGCATGCATGTGAAATAGAGGAGTATCTCTATGACTGACATAGAACCAATTAAATGAAGGCTGAGTGCTATTTTTCCTTAAAAAGAAGATCTGTTTGTCCTTTGCGCTAGCATGTGGCAGTTGTCGGCTGATGGAGCTGCTGTCATTGTTTGACCGCCAAGCGGTGACAGCTGCATGACAACATTCCGCTGCTCAAAGTTTGTAAATACGCCTAACCCTACCATGCATCAATTTAGTCAGAATGCGCTGTTAAATTGTCGATAGATCATTTTAACTGTTTTTTTTTTTGCAAACTGTATTAGCAAGTCGAAAGATGATTTGCAAACCGCAAACTCTTGCAGCTTCAATGCATATAACGACAAACAGGTAACTTATAGACGACATCGATATCATTGTTTATTGCTCTCCCGGATAACCCCAGAAAAGCGATCCAAAAATTAAGGTTTTCGACGCAACCGCGAGGGAAGGTCGGACGCCCTTAGTACCTTGAGATACTGGGTTAAAACCGATGAAACTGCCGCATAGCAGGTCTACCCTCGCAGCTGTGTCGCACTATCTGCAGGTGGTTAAGCTACGACTTCCCTCTCGCTGGGAGCGCACAGAGGAGTGAGACATTGCACAGCGGATTTTTGCAAGGCTAAACTGAGGTTATGTGAAGAGTGTGCTGAAGTTTCTTATTCGATCGCAGTTAGAATGTAGTCAACTTGTAAATCAACGCAGTATCATTATTTGACAATTTCTCATTTGATGACAGCTCAGTGAAGGTTTTTATTGCACAAAAAAAGTTTATCTCTTATGTAACATGAAATATTGCACTAATAAAGTCCATATTTGTCCTCCTTTTGACCTCAGAAAACGAGAAAAAATATGGACCCGATTATCTTTGAGAGACTCTAATCCGCTTGTTTGATCGTCGAATTCTGAATGGAATTTGCTTAGCTGAAATCTAACAGTAGTAGTGCCAGTGGAAGTAATTTTGCTAGATCGTATTGATCCGATATGGATTGTTGTAAGTTTCTGTTGGGCTCGATGAGCGTTATTTTGGAAATCGTGATTTCAAGCATAATTGGCGACACTTTGCAGCAGCGATAATCAGGTTTCTGGGAAGGATGGTTTATCGAAGTGGCCTTTTCAAATGGGATGTGAACCACATGGAGGCCATAAAACGCTAAATCCAAATTCTCCCTTATCCGCGGAGCGTCTGTGGAGGAGAAGTTATGAGCATAGATACATCGAAGCAAAAATCAGATGGTGTATGGGATAAACACAGTCGCCAAAATCTTCCTAGCACTTAAATGAGGCAGCGGAGTGTAGATTCAATTCACCTAGATTATATTGCATAAAGTACTTTAATAATTTTCAATGCATTATTTGAGCAAAAATGTTACGGATGTTTTTATCCTAATTAAATTTACTACTGCGCACATAATTTCTCGTCTAGACGCGCTCGAAGGAAGACAAAGAATTGAGCGTTTTATGTCTCCTAAGAAGGTGTGGTGTAAATCTATTTTGAAAGGCCATTTCTACTACATCCTTTCCAGTAACTGAGTTAAAACTCGCAGCAACGACTGTAGCTCTTCTCTTGCAACTTCATTTTTGCTCTTCCGGATAACCCCAGAAAAGCGATCCAAAAATTAAGGTTTTCGACGCAACCGCGAGGGAAGGTCGGACGCCCTTAGTACCTTGAGATACTGGGTTAAAACCGAAGAGCTTTCCGCGTAGCAGGTCTACCCTCGCAGCTGTGTCGCACTATCTGCAGGTGATTCGGCTACGACTCTCTCACTGATGAGCGCACAGAGAAGTGCGACGCTTGCACCGTTTTTCGAAAATCCCCTATTGATTTGTAAGATTATATGTAACGTTGTTTTTCTCGCTTGACGGTCGTAAGTAAATTTATACGAAAATTAATGCGAAAGCGATACTCATAAATGACCGTACCGTAGTAGTACGACCTTTTGACTTCAAAAAAAACGGATAAGAGGGTGAAGCCAAATATTATAGACCTTTATGTTAAAAATAATTTAGTCTTTCCTATAGAAGACGAGTTTATGCTACTAATTGGTTGCTTTCATTCAGATTTCAACAATGATAACGGTTCGATAATATCTTTTCAAAAGTAGTTCTCAAGAAGATTTTGACCCGACATGGTGCTGTTTTTATGGATTTACTATATCAGCAATTATTCGGCATCATATGAAAATTACTGAGTCTAAGCAGCGTTTGTCAGCGATTTCAGATAACCGGCAATATCTTAAGTAAAAAATTTTACTCGAATCTTTCACTCGAATCACCACATTGACGAGTTCTCCTCTCACTTTATTTCAAGGTTTTTGCTCTTCCGGATAACCCCAGAAAAGCGATCCAAAAATTAAGGTTTACGACACAACCACAGGTGGAAGGTCGGACGCCCGTAGTACCTTGAGATACTGGGTTAAAACCGAAGCGGATGGCGCCTTGCTGGGTCTACCCTCAAGGCCGCGGCGTATCTGCTTTCGAGCATGCATGGCTTTTCTCTCGTCGTAGAGGGCGCAGAGAAAGTGTGCACCGCGATTTATCAAAAATTGCTATTTGAAGTAATGAGGTATAAAGTGTTAGTGTATATTTGTTTATTTGGCTGAACTGTGCAGTTATTTTTGCTTTTTTTCAGTTGAGAAACTCCATTTTTCTCTATTGGCTTGGTAACAGCCAACTAGATTAAAAAACTGTTCTTTAACATTCAGTGAGGTAGACTGAGACATATGCAGCTCTCATGTACCTGAAAAATAATTTATCGGGCAATAATGCTCTAGCTTCTAGTTTTTCCAATTTCATCTTCTTCATAGAAATCATTGAAAATTGCTATAATGTGCCAAATTCAGACAAGCACAGCTGAAGAGAGGCCTCCTCCCGTCCCACCGCGCAAGAAAAGATGCGAACAAGCAAATCGCGATTTCTTGAGGGTCTGGTGTTAATAAAGTGCCTTCATTTAATCCTGTATCCATAGCCCTCAATCACAGAATTTGGTATTCGAAACGATCAATGCTTGCAAACTCTCGAAAGAACAAAGCATCGTGCTTGGATACACACGAAAGGCATTCTCAGCCCACGACATTTTCGCTGATCTGGTGCTTCCTCCATTCAGCTCCATGAAAACCGTGACGTATTCGTTTGTCACACATTTCTTTACCAAGGTGAATTACACCACGTTTGCAAGAGAACAATCAACTCCACCCCGATGCTTTCAGGTGTACGGCGAAGGTGTTGTACAGATAGTGAAAGCTCATCTGTCTACAGAACTCAATGCGTTTCCATCTACTTTGGCTGAAAGGGTTGCAAGTGAGTCCTAACTTCATTTTTATTTTTATATCGGCCATTCTGTAGTACATTTTTCTATTTTATCTAGTATCTTTATCTTATATCTTTTTCTTTAGCCGCAATTATTGCCGGTTATGAGCTCGATGTGCAGTTGGGCAATGATGACTTGCTCATACACGAGCTCAAAATCCATTTGCAGAAACAACTAAGGAGCGAATTCGTCATTTTCTGGTATGCATTATTCTGTTATCCGTGTGTATCGTTCTATCCTTCTTGCTTAGACTTCCATTTACAGCGAAAACATCAAAGCAGGCTATCTCAACGACTCATTTGCTCAGTCTTGATTCTGTAATTTGTGTTAGTGCATGTTCAAATACGCTATTTTCGCAACTGTTCATATTATATCTTGAATGTAATTCAGCAACCTGTATTTTCATGTTACCCTTTAGTACACAACACTGCGAAGATCTTTTGTTTTTCATAATTAATTTTCTTGTCTTTGAGGATATGACTTACTATAAATTGGATTTTGTACTTCTTTATTTAAAACACACTTGACAAGACAAACTCGTATAATGCACATCACTTCATAATGCAGCACAAAAAAGACAGTAGCATAGGTAAATGAGACAGCCTTCAAGTAATAGACAGTTGCAAAATTGACAACTTAATAGGTCAGGTATTTATGAGCAGAGATAAGGGTGAGAAGAAGGTGATAGACATGCCGAGGTAGTGAGCTAAAGCTAGATTTTGTTTACTATTTCATGGTATGTTAGCTTTCAGTGCTTTGAGACGAATTCCTTGCGAGTATCTCGTTTTGTCGACAACGAATGTGAAGCTCTTCGAAACCACGTATTAGTGCCTTGAAATAGAATGATCAGGCAAGCATCAATTGACTCTTGATTGAACCTAAGCTATAGAGGGTTATTGGGCAAGTCGGATAACGGATAGACTAAGAAAAATCATTGTGAAATCAATAGAATGTAGAAGTCATCTCCAGGGTTGAGCGTGGGGTCAGGCGCGCCCGACCTCGGGATCTATTGAGCGTAAGACTGAGGGGGGGGTCGTAATTAAGAATCGAATTTGTTAAGTTGGGGAGATACTGCGAAGGTGAAGAAGAAATGCGCTAGTCCGGTGGATATCCGATCACATGAAGGAATGACGGTCATAAACAGCATATTGATTGTTTTACAATGAAAGTTTCAGCCAAATTCAAATCTTCATCTCTTTTACCTTGACATATGAGGTCGACAAGGAAGCTTGCTGCGTGAAATGAGTATCAATTCCATAATCAGCATGTCAAATTACCTCTATGCGCTCTACAAACCATTACCTACTGCAGTTCTTAGTGTTTCTCAACGTCTAAAAAGCGTGATTTTCAAACGTGATCAACTTGGTTTTAAAAGTGAGAAAAGTCAGCTTTTGTATACTCATAAAAAAGTAACGTTCTCTACAAGTCTATGCTACAAATCTGGCTTCATATCGCTTTCAAACAGTGAAGTAAGAAGTGCTGCCAAAATTCCAACCGGCGCGTTTTTCACGTTGAGTGCTTCAACTCCTCGGATTAGCACAAGGCCGGAACAAGTCGAATCAAGCTCAAACACTTACTGTGGAATCTTCGAGGGTTGAGCTCGCGAATCACATAAAACTTTGGTAGAAAAGCTTTTTCGGAAATAAAGTTAAACTGTATTATAGATCCCAACTGGTCATCGACTTGGAACAGTAGTCAAAACCAGGCGTAGAGGGATTGCGCAGCTGCTGTGACTGCACAAACTTCGCTAGAAATGTCTCGCTGAGGTTGTCCTTCAGAAAGGATGGAAATCAAGTGGTGCGCACTTGCTGAAACTGAGAATTCAAAAAAGTAATCAAAGTTGAAGTTCAGTAATCGTAATGAACCAATCACGATCAAAATTGGGATTTCTATGTGTTCGAGGTTGTTCTTCTGCATAGCTATGATTGTTCGCAAAACAAAGCACAAAAAGCACTTTTTTCAAACAACTTTTCAAAATCTAAGTTCAAGTTCAGTAATATGTTCAAAGTGAATGGTTAGATAACGAGTTCATGCCAGTACATATAGACATTTTATACGACATCACTAATCATGTATGGATATGTGACTGACAAAGTCGCGCCAACAGGTATATAGCTTGTAGCCAAGATGTAGATTAGAACCTTGATGTGCCTGCGGCATTCTGCTCGAAGAAAACCTTTATGAGGTCATGACCTTGCAACGCGGAAGAGGGAAAACATGTAATCGAGTACATGGAAAACATAGAAATCCCAATTTTGATCGTGATTGGTTCATTATGATTACTGAACTTCAACTTTGAGTACTTTTTTGAATTCTCAGTTCCAGCATATGCAAGTGCGCACCACTTGATTTCCATCCTTTCTGAAGGACAACCTCAGCGAGACATTTTTAGCGAAGTTTGTGCAGTCACAGCAGCTGCGCAATCCCTCTACGCCTGCTTTTGACTACTGTTCCAAGTCGATGACCAGTTGGGATCTATAATACAGTTAAAGTTAATGGGGTCAGGCGCAACCCCTCAAAAGGTCAAGCCGCCTGGCCCTCTTAACTTGCCTTCAAAATTCGAAAATTGCCCCTTTTTTGATATGAGTATTGAGGGCAAAGCCTCTTCTTGCCATACTGAAAATTTGGAGCCAAACACTCCACCCCTGTGAGAATTATAGCTCTGAAAACAGGACTATCCAGATCTAAAACTTGCCGTCAAGTTGCGTGTGGTTGTGCAATCGCAGAAAGTCGGGCCTACAGACAAAAAATAGAAACCTGCAATGAAGGGTGCTCTTTTCCAAAATACAACACCCTGAGGGCTTGGAAGTGAAGCGGAGGGTCGTTTAGGGGTTTTCACAGGGGGGGGGGGGTCGTTTTTGAAGGACTTGTGCCTGACCTCTTGCTCAACCCTGGTCATCTCATCCATAAGTGCCCAGCGAGAAGGTGAAATACGATCAGTGCCAGATATTTGGAAAATTGCCAAATAGGAATTCGCCATCAAAAGTAAGGTCACAGAAAAACCAAGCATGTAGGAACTTACTAAAGGTTCATAGTGTTGCACAATCTGGGTAGCAAGAACTTCGAGAGTATCACAGTTTTTGAACTGCACTACGGCAAATATGCGATCAGCTCTTTTGAGGAACATATGAATTCGTTCCACCTAAAAAATCATAGAGGAAAATCAGAATCTTCAAAATAATACATGTAACTTACACTAAGTCCTCTTTCGAAGCCATGGGGTCGAACAAACCGTTTTTCTTGAAGTGATGGCTCCGTCTAGAAAAGAAAGTCACGATTCTTGTAACAGTCTTGAAAATTGGGGACTCACATCTGCTTTCTGTTCTGTATCGGGTCCCAGAGCTTTGCTTGAAATAGTGCTGTCGCAAGAGCTTTCGTCTTTTTGCTAAATGATGTTCACAACCGTTTGTTCCAAATACAGAACGCGAATCCATACCATTACTTGATCATTTATCTCAGGAGCTGCCGTGGGCTCTGGCTGGCTAATCTCCAATTGAGGGGCAAGATTTTCAGCCGTGTCTGGAGCTGTTTTGATCACGGGAAGCTTTGGGCTACAATAAGAAGATGTTAGAAAAGGAGTATAACCAACATTTACTATTTCTTTCTATGAGTGAACTTGGTGAGTACCTTGCCGGTGTCGAGCCGCCAGCAGGACTCGCTAGGGATGCAGTACTCGCAAATGACTTGCGTTTGGGTAGAGCCGGTGGACGAGGAATCTGAACATCATTTCCCACTACTCGAGCTTCAGATTTGGCAAACAGCAACATACAAACCTTTCTCTTGATGACTAGAGGTGGTACAGATTGCGTAGAACTGACAGACGTGCATGGTGATGCGCGATCATTTTTAACGACATTGGGAAATTTGGCAGCAAGTGGAACATTATCAGATGCTTCAGAGGCTGTTTCTTCTATAGTAGCTTGACTTTCGACATCACTCGGAGCATCACTGGGTTTCTGCATCTTTAAGAGTGAAGATTTTCCGAATCGACGTTGAAATGAGAAGGTTAAAAACAACGTTTATTTACCGGCTTGTCTTTCTCAGCACTTCTTCTGCTTGCTCGTGTCCTGGGAGTAGAATCAGTAGTGGGTTCAGGTTTCAAAACTGCTTGGTCAGCATCAGCATTAGCTGTAACATTCATGTCGTAAAACATAGCGCTAGGCAAAAGTTTTTAATGATATTTTTGACTTACTGCTTGTCTCAGATTCACTTGCACGAGTTTTTTTCGTAGACGAACCTTTCTTGCTAGATGTCGTAGCATCAGCACTAGCTATGAAAGAAATTCATTTCAAACACAGTGTAAGCGGTCGCTGAATTAGCCTCATTTATGAAATTACTACCCGTTTCGGATTCGCTTGTACGAGTTTTTTTCGGGGGAGGACTCTTCTTGGTAACTGATCTATTGCTACTCGTAGAGCGATGCTCTCGTTTCTTCCCATCAGGCGTTTTCTCATCCTGTTTCTGATGTTTTTGACTATCCCAGTATGCCTGTATGGCATCTGGACAGTCCTAAAACTGTCGCAGTAAAAAGGCTGAGGACATATAAGTGAGAATTTACTTACCATTTTGCTATCAGGAAGCCATTCGTCGAACTGTTCTGACCATCCACGCCATCGCACCTTGTATTCCATACCGTGTCGGCGCATTCTGTGGCCGACAACGGCCTCTACCTGAAAAATATTTGGGAAAATAGGTCGTTTGATCATCAAACTTGCAGAGTTACTCCCCTAGTTTTCAAATAAGAATTCAGAGACTACAAAAAAAGCGAAAACCGATGGATAAATCCTCAATAGATACATATTGTTGAATTTTCGCACATCTGCTGGACTAATAAACAGTTTTTTTTTGACATGTGCGAGGGACTTACAATATTTCTTCGAATAAACGCTGAAATGAGAAACAGAGCTTTTTTACATAAAATGAGTGAAAATTCATATGAATACGTAAACTGAATAGAAACTAAACCAATCAAACGAAACACTTGATTGGGAACGGAAACGTATAAGTTGAACCAAATTATTAATCTGAAAACTAAACTTACTTCGTAACTTTCCTCCGTGACTACATACTCTTCTGATGCATCATCCTGCAATATATACAACGACAGCCGATTAAATCAAAACTGTACAAAAACTGCCAAGTGGAAAACGAGAAGGTCATGAATACTGACGGCTTTGCGAACCTCGTCACTACCAACCGGTGAACCTGTACGTCGAGCGCTTCGTGATCGCGATTTCTTCTTGGTCATACCTAAAATCAGAGTGTTTTTTGTGAATGCGCAAGATTCAACGATAACCAAGGCGATTGCAAAAATAACAGAAGAACATGAACTCAAAAGCTCCGAAGAGAGCATGTGTAACGGCTGCCATCTCGGAAAATTCCGAAAATTTGCCCGCTAGCTTCAACCCGAACCCAAAATCGCTAACAACAAGACGTGTTTCTGACTTAGGTCACCTGTCACTTTGACATCCACTGCTACTTTTGGTTTTGGTTCAGGCATTCTCAAAAAGAATTAGACCTCAACTAATAATGATCTCTACAACCAGACTTCCCGTGAAGTTGGAGTTCTGCCAGAGATACGTCCTTTGAAAGATGCGTTGGAGCGCGTCAACCGCCAGCGTCCGTCCAAGACGGTTCTTTCCAGTAGAACGTGACTCCGGGGGTCAGGAATCACACCGCGCGCGGCCCCACAAAAACTTTCCGGTGCCAAAGTGGCGCGGCGCCACAGTAGGGGGGTGGGGGTGACGGCAGATTGAAAGCCCCTGTATCTGCCGCCACAGAGGCTTTCAATCTAAGTGTCACGGTTGACGTGATTCAGGTCCTCGCGAGCCGCCTCGCTTGGGTCTCTCACCTGGTACGCTACCGCATCCGATACCTCAAAGACCTTAGCGTATGCGGTATTGTACAACGTGAAAGTCCAAGCGAGGCGCTCGCGAGGATCTGAACTACGTCAACGGGGACACTCAGATTGAAAGCTCCGGTACATGACTCGATGCCATAAGTAGTATTGCGGCAGGAGTACTGACGGAAGCTGAAGCCTGTACTGCTTGACGTCGCGTTGCGGCGTCGATTCGCGAAAAATCATGACTCCTGACCCGTGCACGTAGAACATTTGACGCATAGATAACGGCTATTCTATGTCCGTAAAATCGAGTGCGCTTCGCATACCGCCAACAAGCTTCAAGGGAAGCTACCTAACTTAGCTCGGCCTTTTGGCAAGGGAGATACAGGCCCGTAAAATTCAGTTGTCCACTCGTAGCTTTGAACACCGACGCGCGGCACGGCTGGAAACGTTAGGTCCCCGAGCGCTACAGGCTTTTTGTGAGCGAGAATGGGCGCGCATATTTCCACACATATTTTTTTAAACTTTTGAAAGGAGCTTAAGATATACCTTGCATCGACGAGAACAACATGAAAGTTAAGGAAAGATTTCTCGAACATAATGAACGCCGATAGTCGTTCGCGACGACCGCTCGCTCTTACGTTGTTGTTCAAGGCACGGCGCGGGCAACTAAGTTTTACGCCGCCTATACATCTTCTAAATCAGCTTTAAACGCTGATTCCAAATATGCTATTCCTAGCTGCCGCGCAACATTCCGAAGCGAATTGTGGACTTTTACCTGCGCAAAACTATAAACCATTATATGTCGGAGGGGGACGGTGGCACTAGCTACCGTACCCCCGGCGCGCGCAGGACCAACCAAGGTTGGAATGAGCTTGGCATGAAGCCAATCGCATGCCGCGAAAGCTATTTTTTGCTCCTTGTGGATTTTTTGATTTTGTGGATGATTCTTCGCGTAGAGTGTCGCATAGTGTCATATCCTGTTTTTTCCCTGTACTGTTTTTTCTCTTCAGGGCTCTTTTTGAACGTTCCCGCCTAGCAGGGACGTGCCGTTTTTGGGTCGCTCGGCTGTCACAAGGCTGGCTCGATTACGCAGTGTCATGGAAATCACGCCTGGATCGCTTCTTACCATTGTCTACATGTTAAATTCAACAGGTAATCTTTTTTTTCTTTCTTGCGAAAGTTTTTTGTTCCCTTATGTGAACTTTTCGGATATTTCAGTGATTTGAACGACTGAAAGACCATCAGGAAGCACCAACGATAACACTGGACGAGGATCCAGTCGAAATTGAGAGCGAGGATTCAGTGTAAATTATTGAAGACGAGGATTTGGAAGTTTTTACTGACATCCCATCAGGAGCTGAATGTGTGCGGAGATGTGACAGAGCAAACGCGAGAAGATTCTGAGAAGGTGTTTGAAGGCGAGAAGGCGATATGCTCTTCAAAATGCGCAACCGTTTCCAGCATCGCGCCAGAGAACTTGTATACCATACACTTTCGCATGCGCAGGCTACATTCGAAAAAGTTCTCATCGATAATATAGAGGACCCGGGAGTTGGTAACGAATAACCTCCGGGATATCGAGCTTCTACAGATGAAACTACAAAAAAATTGAGAGCCTCGAGCAACAACCCTTAGAAGGAGACGGGGGATCGGCACACAATACAGTAAGCTTTTGCAAATCGATACATTATCAAGTGAATGAACGACGAAGAGACTTTGCATCAGGCAATACGTCATCACATAACAAGTATCTCAAGGATAGCTGACCTCTGTTTAGTGAATTGATTTTCGCTTTCTTTGTGTTTTGAAATGTTTTGTTTTTTTGTGAGTAAATGTTTATCAAACCAGAAATTTAGTTTTGAGCGCTTGAGTTTTATAGTCTACGTGTGATAAGGTTACTCCGAATGTGTTGAGCTTGTTTTTGAACTCAATAAATTGTTGCACATAAACTATGATTAAGCCACAACTTCTCTGATCATTCCAAAGAAAGGTGCCAGCTCACTCCCCATGAAATGCACTGCAAAAAGGCATATATCGCTCTCGTAAAGATGAATGCATGGTCGGAAATTTCCAAATGGGAGGGTCTCCCAAGTTGTTACTAATGGAAAGGGCTTTCTTAATCACAGCAATTCCAACCCAGTATTTTGCTGTATCAATTGAGCAGTATTCTGCTAGAGGGAAAGAGATGGGAACAGGTGAAAGACAGATCGTACATTCCAGATTATATTGAAGCATTTACTAACTCTAACAAAAGTCATCCAAAATTTACCACAATCGAAGCGAAACCCATTATACCACTTCACAACAACAAAGCGTCCAGATTTTCACATTTAACAACTCATGAATCGAATGAAGCATTCGTTTTCTAAGATTGCAATCAATCGAGTAGACCAGGTAATATACAGAAAGAATATACATTTGTACACAACAAATTCTCACTGATGCCGCCTGTAGAAAATCTCTGCCAGAGCCGCTGAAATGACACAGATCACGCAGATGGTGAAAAAAAACTCAATTAAAACCAAGAAATGAACTTACCGAATCTCTCAGGATATTTTCTTGTCCCTATAACTTCCCGGTGCTTTTTCGCTTCGAGATTCCATCAGCTCTGCCTTTGTTTTGCGGCAAAAGCACCTTCTCAGAATCTTCTCGCGTTTGCTCTGTCACATCTCCGCACACATTCAGCTCCTGATGGGATGTCAGTTCAAAAACTTCCAAATCCTCGTCTTCAATAATTTACACTGAATCCTCGCTCTCAATTTCGACTGGATCCTCGTCTAGTGTTATCGTTGGTGCTTCCTGATGGTCTTTCAGTCGTTCAAATCATTGAAATATCCGAAAAGTCTTCGCAAGAAAGAAAAAAAAAGATTACCTGTTGAATTTAACATGTCGACAATGGTAAGAAGCGATTTCCATGATACTGCGTAATCGAGCCATGTGACAGCCGAGCGACCCAAAAACGGCACGTCGCTAGGCGGAACTTTCAGAAAGAGCCCTGAAGGGAAAAAACAGTAGGATATGACACTATGCGACACACTCTACGCGAAGAATCATCCGCAAGAATCAAAAAATCCACAAGGAGCAAAAAATAGCTTTCGCGGCATGCGATTGGCTTCATGCCAAGCTCATTCTAACCTTGGTTGGTCCTGCACCCGCCGGGGGTACGGTAGCTAGTGCCACCGTCCCCCTCCGACATATAATGGTTTATCGCAAAACTGGCATATTCATCGACTCACTTGCATCACGGCATCATCATCTAAGTGCTAATACATTTGCGTTAACCTTTTTTTTTTTGGAGAAAAGATTGGATTTGTGTTATTTTGATATCTCAGCACCTTTTCCTTGCAGATTTTTATCTATAGGCAGTTTTCCCAGGTTCAGTAGTGTGCCAATAATGCGCGGAGAAAAGCCCATAACTCGCCTCGGAATAGTGCTCTGCAGCTAGGAATAGCATATTTGGAATCAGCGTTTGAAGTTGATTCAGAATATATATTCCTTTGCCAACAGGTCGAGCTAAATCAGGTAGCATTCCTTACAAGCAACGAAATGAGATATATCACAAGTAACTCAACTACCATACGATCAAGTTGTTTGAATAGAAAATGTAAGTGTACTCAAGTCCCCTTGTTTTTCAGAATAAATAATACTTCGTTTCTATTGTAAGAGTAGAGTCGTTATGTTGCCGAAAGGGAAGGTTCTGCACGTACATCTGCAACAATTACGCATCTCGTATGAGCGTGTCCTCGTAGGACCTTCCCTTTCGGCAACAAAGTCTCTTTCAATACCCTATTAGTCTTTCCTACCGTATGCATTCCAGCCTCAATAAACGTGGATTGGTGCGGCGCTGCCTCGCTTTGGGCCTGCGTCACGTTGCGGACCCATCGTTTGGCATGGCGTGGCGTGGCGTGGCTTGGTGAGAAAAGCAACGTGGCACAGACTTTCTTGCGTTTTTCTGTGGCCACCCATTAGCCACGCCATGCCACTTCAAACAAGCGTCCGCAACGTGGTGCAAGGTCGAAGCGATGGGGCGCCCACCAATCCACGTAATGTTGAGGCTGGAATGCATACGGTGGGGAAAACCAATATACCATTGGCAATGATTGTATGCATGCCTGCAAACACCTAATTTAACGGAATTGGCGGGTGGAAAGCCACCGCTCGCACCCGCGACGCAGCCCGCGTCTTTCTCGCAGGCGCACTCTCTAAGCATTCGCTAGCCTTGCTTGATCAGGCCTCAAGGCCAGCCTTCTAGCCACCAATCCCATTGAATCAAATGGTACACACAGTCTGACCGGGATCAGGCCGAACCGTTGGGATGAATTGCGCGCTCGCAGCGCTAGGAGCTCGCGCCGCATATGCGCACGGTCGGAGAGAGCGAAGAGGAAGAGAAGGCGAACAAGAGGCCGTAGGCGGACCAAAACCATAGCGACGCGGACTCCCGCCATGCCAATTTTGGCCTGATTAGAGTTGGGGCAGACTGTATGTACGAATGCGCATCGAACACGTCCCGATTGCAAGATATCATTTGCACACGGTAGATGTTCATCATTTGCACACGGTAGATGTTCAGGCCTTGGTGTTGTGCATCCACTATCTTAGCGATGGAAGGAAGTCTTACTGTTCACTCTCTAAACTAACGCCTTGAGCTACCTCAC